TCCTCACACAGATCCGTAATCCGACCAAATTTTTATCCGTATTTGCGGTTCGTTTGAAGAATTTCTCTCTCATTTCTTTCATCCTGATTCAAACGGAGATGATGAACCCTAACGGAACTTGCTATTTAAATCAGTCTAGAGAACTTAAATGAATTGCGTTTAAGTTGTTAGGTTTAATTTTATGAGGATTTTCCATGTATAAACATGTGAAGAGCTTTGAAAAGTTGAAGTTTTGAAGCTTGCTCTGAAACAGAATACACTGGAAAAAAAGCACATTGAATCTCGAGTCCAGACTCTTGAAAACATTGACAAGAAAAATACTCTTGATTCAATCGGATTTTTGCTTGAATCAAAACGAAATCCGCTTAAATTAAGAGGCTTGGTTCTTGACTTAAGAGCTAGATTCTGATTGAATCAAGAGTACTTTTTCTTGTCGATGTTTTTAAGAGTCTGGACTCTAGATCCAACGTGTTTTTTTTCCAGTGTAACCGAAGTGATTCTCTTCTTTGGCAAACATGCAGTTATGTTCCGCAAAGCATTTTTCAAATTCCGTCTTCTGCTTTTCAATTTCTAAATCCCAAACACTTGATAATCATGAAGACGAAGAGTATATTTTTTACCTACAAAAGCAAGTAATAAATACAATAGATTTCACGGTGATTTTTAAACTTTCTTACCAGAAGACAAAAGTCCTCCGGGAAAGTACTGCCGGAAGATTAATCAGAGATACAATGGTTCGGTACCATTGAAAGGGTAAGAAAATGATGATGAAATATAAATTTGCGGGTGCATTTTAGGTAGTTTACCCTTCAGGCGGTAATGAAAACCAAAATTATTTAATAAGGACCTCTTCTAAGAAAATCATAAAACTTCTCACGAATAAAACCGAATCATCCATAAACTATCCGCATCGCATATTAAGGGTCAATTTGATTACAATGACCGTTTATGAGTCATAAAATCGTTTCGATCTTGAGATGGAACGTTCGTATTAGCAAAAAAAATGATAGTAAGTAAATATAATACAGCTTAATCCTGAGATTTGATGGTCTCTGTTTAGGTCGTTATTTGTCGTTTATCGATTAGGTCGTTTATTGATAATAATGAATCCAGACTCAACCACTCAAAGGCGTTATTAAATTCGGTCAAATGGACCTAACAATATCCGTCCCTGCAGTTTATTAGCCTCTTAAAGCTACATTGGTGAACGTATCTTTGCTATCAGATAAAAGACCTCGCGAAAATATATCACCTTCCTTTGCATCGTATAAACGTATCAACCTCGGAGATTAAAACGGTGCCAAATTTTCCAGATAAAAACATAATTTGTAGTTTCCAGATTGGGGTGCAAAACTACAAATCATCAATGGTCAGAAAAGAAAATCTTACGGTCAAAAATTTAGCTTTATCATAAAATCCTTACTTTCGTACCACCTTTCCAGCGCTAGCCCCGAAATGTGTTTATTTCTCAGGAGCATAAGGATAAATAGACGTTGGACTTTCGGTATAATGAAACATTTCGTCAGTCGAAAGCTAAAAAATCCTGAATGGATTTACGGCGTTTTTGCTAAGAACGGCAGTAAGAGCAGTATGTACATTTTAATTTTATCCCAGTTAAGGATATCCCTTAATCGAATCACTCGATAAAAAAATATGCATCTCTATGTTGCTTGTGCGTGCTGAATCTTGGCGATCCCAACTTGTGTGGATCCCGGAAGAAACTCCAGGCGTGACTGCGTTTCAGGATAAGAGGATGTTACTGCGTCTCGAGGCCTTATTACTGCGACCAAATGGGAGTTCCTCTTTCTAATTTTCACGGTCACGCGGTCATGGTCCTGCTTCCGACTCCGAGGGATTAAAGGACGATTGAGAGCAAGTGGATAGCCGTTAATGGCCCCTGCGCGCGCCTAGAGCAAGCACATACGATTCTCCCGTGATAGCGAAGAGAGCAGTAAGTGTCAAATTTTCGAAATCGAGTTTCCTTCTAAATTTGCCAAATCTCTTTTAGATGAAATCGCTCAAATTGCTAAAACAGCAAAATTCATCTTAATTGTATCAAAACGAGACATGACTCTTAAAAACATCGACAAGAAAAAATACTCTTGATTCAATCAGATTTAAGCTTGAATCAAGAACCAAGCCTCTTAATTTGAGCGGATTTCTTTTTGATTTAAGCTTACATCTGATTGAATCAAGAGTCCTTTTTCTTGTCAATGTTTTCAAGAGTCTGGACTCTAGATCCAATGTGTTTTTTTTTCCCAGTGTGTCGTAGTTTCAGGGACGACAGCAGTAAATGACATTATTCCTCCAGAGAGCCAATGAAAACAGTGCTTTCAAGTAGTGCCGCTCTCTTCTGCCAATTTCTAACGTGAAAATATGCTTGTTGTGTGTCCTAAACGCAACCAATAGAGCATGCAGAAGATAGCACTTACGGCTGTCTTGCCTAACAATAGCTTAGCTTGAAAATGAAAAATACACTTTTTGTGTAATTAAAATAAAATCAGTCCATTTTTAATGGTGCAAGCGATTTCTAGGAGTCTTTCGGAGGATTAATGACAATTTGACAAAAAACGGAGGCTTTCAATAAAATTTTTCGGTCAGAAGTTTCTAAACCCGTTTCCTCAAAACTTCATTTTTGCACTTGCTGCTCTCTTCGCTACCACGGCAGGATTTATTTAATCGAAAAAAATAGTAGGTGAAGTATCCGACGGTAAAATTCCTGATATCGACGGAGATATAGTCCTCCAACAAGTTGTTCGACATCATCTACTACGGTAATGTGTCATGGTTTCTTTCAATTTGCCTGAATTAGTATTGCTTGCGGAGAAACCAGGGCAAACGTATTCATATTATCGGTTGATAGATTCTCAGTGGAAAAAACCATGGCATGCACTACCGCGATGGATGACGAAGGTAACCTTGTCTCTCAAAGGGGAATATTTTCGTTAAAGTTGTGATTAGAAAATTGGCGCTCGGTTGAATGTTATGATAAGTTGTTTTACATAATATTTTAGCCATTAAAACACGAATCTGTGACAAAGCGTAAATGCTGCATAACATTACTTGTTGATGGTGGTATTTTCTGAAAATTTGACTGACGTTTTAGAGGAGGCAGAATTGACATAAAAAGAGAAGGAAGGTTGCGCAAATGGCTAATTCACCTCCAGTTTTTGAGGCAGACCAGGAAAAATCCACCATGCAAGGATAATAATGTCTACTTGGGGATTTTTTCTTGTGTCTTCTGTGCCTGTGCTTGCCCTGTACTGAAATGAGGTTCCCCCCTTGTCCCTTATCGCAAGCGGGGGCCTACGGTGACCAATTTTTTCACTACTTAAATACTCATGTGCTCTTATGTTATGTTCTCAAAAATACTCTCGTTTCCCAAATTGCCTATTTAAAAAATCTTCACAGCTTAAGAAAATATATAGGATAGCAACAATGATACTTTTGAAAAACCTCCACGCATGCATGCCATAGGAATTAAGGTAAGATCAACAATTCCAGCAGTTTACTTAGACTTAAAACTTCATGAGAACCCTAGCTCCTTTGTAAATGTTTGAAGTTCGAATGAGGTATCACCATTATCACGCTAACTAACTCGGAAATTCCGAAATGTTCAGTTATCCTCCGTAAAATGTTAAGAAACGTGAATATGGACTAACCCTATGCAGTTCTCACACATGCAGATTTGTGTCTTTTAAAAGCTAGGTACATATTAACATTATATTATCAGCATTGCATTTTCTAAATGCAGATCATCGTGCCATTCTAACTTTCGCAAATTGACTCCATGACTACTATTCAGAGATGAAACTACTTTCCATATGGTGTCACCACAGCACTTACCATATGGAGAAACGTTACACGTGGAAATGATCGAAGCTTTTTCAGATAAAATTTAAAGCGAATCGGGTGATATTTCATGTTCAGAAAAGTATACAATTATCATAAACTGCTTATTAGGGTTGTGCACCATGAACGATACACCGTGCTTCCAAATTGAGGGTATTGCATCAGATTGATTTTACCGCAGTCTGGAACATGGTCTCAATAAGAAACCATGTAAAATACCGCAGTCTTCAAAGAAATAGACGATTACACATTACTCCTCTATCATCATTTAGGTCAATGAGACCTCTTTCGTGCACTGAGGTACATGCGTTTTAGGAGTCTCTTTTGTTTCGAGAAAGTTCCTATCGTTGTGAGAATGTTAAAAGGAACTATGTTGCACGTAAACCCTATGCACAATTGCACATAGTCCCTTTTAGCATAAATACGTCCATGTATGAAGCATCAGTTCGACGTTTTGACTCAAACATTAAAATAGCCTTATCGTGTGATAGAATTTGTGTCGAATATGGATTTCAGTAAAGATTAGGTATATTGCTGCTTTCCGTCTGAATTTTCACTCGATTGTTGTTGCCAGTTGAGCTTATTAATGCTAAAAGTCACCATATACAAATGCATTGAATTAAAACTTGAGCCGTGCAAACCCTACATACATATAGGTACTTTTGATTGATTAGTTTGTGCATGATTACTTTTAGTAAAATTAAGTCCAACGGATCCTACAAATAACGTTGATTGGGTGGAAACTCAAGTGTAGCTTTCTCCTACCCGACTCTGTCCTCGAACTCTCTTTTGCACTCGTATTTTAAAATCAAATCGTTTCATTCAATTTTGCACTAAAATAAAGGAAGTTTGAAAAACTCAGGGACTGTTCCTTGAACCTCAGATTGGTTGTTATTATCACTTCTACATTGAAAAAGTATGGTAAATTCTATCATAAACCTACGCGATTTGTGACACAGATAGGTATACCATTCGGTACTTACGAAGACAAATACTCCATATTACTGGTAGCCTTCTAAGTACGGTAAATGCTACCGGGATTTCAACGTGTGCTACCGGGATTTCAACGTGAGCTACCATGAGCTATATTGTTGACTACCATACTACAAGCTTAAGAGGAATAAATGCGATACATGTCCTGGACTTACCTTTGATAGTAAAATTCCTTGGCTCTAACTAACATTTCATTGCACAAACTAATAAAAGATCTTAACACATCCGTGCTTTGGCCGAGGATGTCTTGCTCCGGCTTTTCCTCTTTAGTCCGACTCAGGAGCTTTTCCGTGTCTACCACCTTGTTCTGCATTATCTCCGCGGGATCATCACTAATTTTGTACGGCTTGAACTCTTTATCCGCACTCTTGTCGTCACCGTTGTTATTCACTCCGTGCGGGTGCCGCATCTTGAGGAGAACCGGCGAATCGAGCTTTGTAACTTTACACATGGCGAGGGACAGGGAGAAAATTGACTAAACTTTTTACAGAGATCGCGGGTTCCGCACTTAACTATTAGTTACCACTGCGTTTGACGTACGCTTCGCGTTCGGCGGTATCGTGAAATTCGCTGTGAGCCGACGTGACCGTGCGCGCCTGGCTTATACTCGTTACTGAAGGGCGACTCAACGCCGTCCATTGCTTTAAAACTTTTCACCGACCCCTCCCCCCTGCCCCCCTACACCACGCGCGCTCTCCCATTGGGCGCTCCGCTCTTGCACGTCCCCGGACCCTACCGCGGGATGATCCTTTTGTGGGCTTTTTCCACCGATGGCTGATCCGTCCGAATTTTTCCGTGAGAGCAGAAAAAGTTGGAGATCCCCAAGTGGAAAAAATGATTCGCTCGGAGGGACTGGACTTTCTGATGAATGCCGTCAACGAATGACGTCAGGTGCTTTTCCGATTTTTAGGACACCCCCCCCCCTTCAGCCGTTGGTACATACCTGTCAGGAAACTCTAGACCCTTTTTTAAAACTGACGTCAGATTAAATGCATCCCCCTTCCCTTCCCCAATTTGGGGAAAAAATAAAGAATACTGAAAAAAAAATCAGTGGAATGAATACATAATGTTAACAATATATTCGATGTACCTAGAGAGGTGAAATTCTACTTTCTTCCAAGTATCTTTTTAATCTTTAAAATATTCGAACTTTAAGAGTTTTTGATCCTCCAGCCCCTCTCCTCTGACACCTCTAGACCTCCTCTCCATTTTTGAAAATGGTTATAGTCAGGGCCGGATTTACCTACTTGCCGCCCATGGGCCGCCTGTGTTTTTCTGCCCAATGCAGTCTGCGCAATGCAGTCTTGTAGGCGCTTTGCGTTTCACGCCGACTGCTGCTGACCACACTATTTGGCGCAATGCGTGAAGTATTCATGCAGTCTTGTAGGCGCTATGCGTTTCAAGCCGACTGCCGTTGACCGCAGTGCGTTTGACGCAATGCGTGAAGTATTCACGCAGTCTTGTAGGCGCCATGTGTTTCATGCCGACCGCCGCGCCGTTCCGTTCCAGGTCAAATTGCGGGTTTGGTTTCTTTCTCAACTCGACTGGTCGACTGGAAAGGTGTTGTCTCTTGTATCACTAAAATACGACAAAATTAGAAATTACTATACTTATACTCTCAGGAAATGAGAGATTTTGTCGCCTTCTCTCGTTTGTATTTTATTTTCTGAAACCGATTGTCTTCTCTCATTTTTGATACCTATACATTCAAAATGATTGCAAAATTTGCCGCCCCCTAAATTTTGCCGCCATGGGCCGCGGCCCGTATAGCCACCCCCTTAATCCGGACCTGGTTATAGTTGTCCCGCGTGCGTATAAACTCTGTCAGTTAATATCCCAAATTTCCTTTTTATTCCATCTTGGTCCGCGTTTAAATTTCATCCTTTTTGCACCATTGCTGTTATTGTCGTTCTTCACATTGCTAGTGCAGTTTTTTATGAACTTCATATTTATAATGGAAGGCACAGTCTGTGGATGTTATGTCTCCACACGCGACCTTTGAGCCTCTGACAGGTCCACTTCTACAGCAAAATTGTTGTCATTCATTCAATCGTAGATGTTTCTTGTGCGGACAAGATGCAAAGGAGCTTTAAAGCGGTTTGTCTCTGGGTAAAAAACACTGCATTTCTTCTCTCAAAAGAGTACAGTATTAACTCAATTATCCGTTCATTTTCGAATTCTTTGGCGATTCAAGCAGTATTTATGTTTCAGTTCATAACAACCGTCTTGATACATCTTGCACATTTAGATCGAAAATAATCGATAAGAGCACTCCTACTCATTATAAAGTCTAAACATGGATTATACATCGAAGTTAATATGTTCATTGGTCAGAGAACCAAAGACTCAATTTTTTATGATCAAAGCAATTAAAACGTGAAATGAGATTATTCGTGAGATTATTCGTGAGTGATAGAAAAACGATGTTTTCCTCAATATTTGCAGTGAGAGTTTCTTCATTGACAACAATGCAGAATCTAAGTTATATTCAAATGGGTCAAATGATCGATAAATCTGATCGAAATTAATCAATTGGCTGTTCCATTGACCACAAATTATCAAATACCTGATTCTTAATTTGAGATTCATCGAGATGTAATGACACTTCCTGTTAACAAAACAGTACGTGTGATCGTAATGACAGTTTCTAACTGAAAATAGCGGAGGCAAAATTGACACGGAGGAGGTACGGAAATCACGTCCTATGCTATTTTGCCTTCAGTTTTTGCGGTAGACCAGAAAATTTGCAGCAATGATCAACCATTTGGCTGTGGTTACATATTGAACCAATCGATATCAATATAATCTCACCTGTGTGATCTGTCGAACACGATCTACAAAAATAAAATCCATCAAGTGAGCATGTTAGTGGGGGAGGGGTGTATAATACGCGTTTACTCGTGCTGGGCATATTTTTTGTAAAAGCCCTGTCTATACTAACAAAGGTTCAGTTTCATAAACCCATCCCTGTTTGGACAAGATCTACCATTTATAAAAAAGAACGAAAAAATCATGAGAGAACAAACATAAATGTGGTTAAAAATTTTAACTTCCACCGCCGCGCCGCGCCGACCGCACTGTGTTGGCGCAATGCGTGAGGTATTCATGCAGTCTTGTAGGCGCTATGCGTTTCACGCCGACCGCTGCCAACCACACTGTTTGACGCAATGCGTGAAGTATTCACGCAGTCTTGTAGGCGCCATGTGTTTCATGCCGACCGCCGCGCCGTTCCGTTCCAGGTCAAATTGCGTGTCTGGTTTCTCTCTTAACTCGACTGGTCGACTGGAAAGGTGTTGTCTCTTGTACACCGAAAGATGACAAAATTAGAAATTACAATACGTTTACTCTCAGGAAATGAGAGATTTTGTCGCCTTTTCTCGTTTGTAATGTATTTTCTGAATACGATTGTTTTCTCTCATTTTTCGATACCTATACATTCATAAAAAGATTGCCACCCCCTAAATTTTGTGCCGTCATTAGCCGCCGCCCATGTGGCCACCCCCTTATTCCGGCTCTGTTTTTGCTTATCACTTTGCTAGAAAATACATTTATATCTAGAAAATAACAAATGAACAATATATTTTCCATAATCATTATTTTGATGATTTAGCCGTTCTTAGAATGACTGATTCGACGAATGCCTTGTGCTATATACGCAATTTACCACGCAATAAATTGCGTGGAATTCTAGTCCTGCAATTTTGATTCTATGATTGTGTGAGTTGTGATTTTGTTGTCATTTTGCCATGCCATTTTTTTGCCTATGATTTGTAACCTTCAAGTCTCTCTCTGCTTGATAACATAAAATCATATATAGGTTTTAAAAACGCACATTGAAACTATGAATTGGACGTATTTCTATCAAACGGACCTAGGCGGCATAGGGTGAGGAAGGTAGAGGGGGGCTTGGATCGGCTTATTCCGTCCTATACTCGCAATGCTTTTCCATGGCACTTAGGTACGTTTGACAGAACGCGCTATCCGAGATTCTAAATTCCTCAAAAGGAACTCAAATTGGCGCTTAGTTCCGTTTGATAAGAAATACGTCCAATTAAGTGTCTCCTTAAGGTATACACGCTACCACGCTACTGTTACGGCGAACGAGCGAATATTTTTGTTGATGACATGGCAACCTCGAACCTAGCCTAGATCTATGCAAAATGGAGACTATCATAGGCCCACCACCCAACCCGCGAAGGGGTCGAAAGCATTATTCATCAGTGTCGTTTATGACACTACTTTGTACCGAGGTCCTTAATTTGTTCGTGGCCATCACTCCCGCTAATACTGTTCTCCGATCATACGTTGAATGATGACCCAGCAAACTCATCAATACTCGTTGGATGCGCTTCTTGATCCGATCGATCTGGCTGTATTTCGTCCCTCCTCTGACGTAAGAACGTATCTCAATGTCTGCGTGAGCCCTGCGACTCGTATTATGCTATGCTTTTCGAGGCTCACGTGGTTTATATACGCTCTTACGTCAGAGGAGAGACGATTTTTCCACTCTGATTTCGCCGAGTCGCGATCTAGTCTACTCGAAGACCGTTGCTCTGTTTCTCACGGCTGTTGGCAGCCCGTCTGCTTGTATCATGACCCCTGCATGGGGCTAGTTCAAGCTTACAAGATAAATTAACCCTCGAATAGAGAATACTGATTTTTTAGATTAAAGGAAAATATAGGTTTGTAAGGGTACATAATAAGAGAGAGATGAGACAAAATAGCCCGAATGCAGACAACAATAAAAGCACATTAAAATACAAAAACAAATGGGTATATACAAGGCTAAGGAGACATAAAACCAACAAGGACGTTTCGGGCCAATTACCCTCGTTGGGTTTGCACTGATTCCTACCTCGGTCAGTTGCATGCTCATTTTCTCGTTTTCATTTTTACATTTTTCAGCTTCTGTTCCAGTTGAGAATGGGCATGTAATTGGCCCGAAACGTCCTGGTTTTTTATGTCTCCTTAGCTTTGTGTACCCATTTGTTTTTTGTATTTTAATGTGTTTTTATTGTTGTCTCAATGTGTAGCCTGTGCATTTTTTTTATTTTTCAGTATTTTATTTTATTTGTTTGCGTAGATCAGTTCAAACGGTTTAGATGAAGTGCATCCTCGGGTTAATAATACTCATTTTTTTCGATAAGGAAAAAATATACCTTGTCAGTACAGTGCCGAAGATTAAAAATGAATCATCTACTCAGTAGCGATGAGTAAAGCGTGCATTGAACGATACCGAGCCGATTTACATTAAAACTGTCCCTTAGAGTCCTTAGAGCGCATTCAGACCAGTTTGCCTTCCATAATTAAAACAAGCTGGCATTAGCAGCCTACTACCATTGTTCGTTGAATGTTGCGCACTCATTTCAGCGAGTCCGCCTTCAATCGCCAGAGCAGGCAATTTGAGCGGCTTTAGAGCAGTAATAGTTGCTTGCAGTGATGTGACCTCGCGTATCTATGTTGAACATCAGGACTGCGCACGATGCTCCTTGTTCTTTCTTGAGCGATTCATTTAAAACATGTTGAGAGCTATTTGAACGGTTTGGAGTAAAAATTTTCGATAATCTTCTGTTGAAAAATTTGCCTGTAAAATAAAAATTTGATA